TGTCGCCGGCAGCTGCCCCGCACCTTGGCTCTCTGCCTGCCCGCGTGCGGGGCGGCCCTGGATTGCTTTTTTGGGTTCTGTTGCGGATGTTTTGTCGGGGAGCGAGGTGGGAATGAAGAAGCTGCTTCCCAAGGCAGGGAAGGCACCGGTTTATACAAATGCCTGTCTTCCGCCTTCCGGTTTGAAGCGTTCCACATGGTGTTGGACCTTCAGACAGCATTGGTGGGGCTGCCCCAGTTTGGTGGAGGCCCGCTGAACGCAAGTTGTACCCAGCTAGCGTTAAGCAGAAGCGTTGTGGCCAGGTGATAAAAAAGTAATAAATGAACGCAGGCAGCGCAGCGGCTGACATTGTGTTTTCGAAAGGGTTGGCGGAGTCCATTAAGAATTGTCTGTTCTTTTTCCAGTAAGCATGAGTCCCTGCAGAGTCGGATAATGAGCAGTCAACAGAGTCGGGAGTCGATCCTGATTAGTCTGTGCTGTTAAGGTTGCCCGGATGGGTGGGAAGAGATCTTCATATTTATCATCACCAAATGACAGCCCTGGCAGAGGTAACCTAATTAGGAAATGTTGATGGGGGGTGTAGAAGTTTGACACAAAAATGAGATGCCTTCAGCAGCTCTATGGAAAATAAAAGGTGAATGTATATGCTTAGGCATGCAAACAGGACAAGCGTTCAGGATGAATCAGGATTAATAAAATACCCAATAACTGCCCGAGCTGCTGTTTTTATACAAAACCTGCATCTTTATCTGTGTGGACTATGTTTTCAGTGAATGCAGCTCCTATTCATAGAGAGTACATAAGCTAGCTGGGTGTGTCGATAAAATGATTTCTAACAGTATTGGCATTTATGTGGTCACAGGCTTCAAAACTCACTGTCAAAAAGGCATCGTTCATACTTAGGACTTCTTTTTTCCATGTGTTTGACACAGATCGTCAGTGACTTGGGCCACATTTGCAAATTCATCTTTGCAATTGGAAAGTCTAGAAAAAAAAAAAATTCTCACCAAAATGGAAGGGTCAATCTCTATGGCCAATAAACATCAAAAATCCATGGGAAGAATAGAAATCTGAAAATGCCCAGATACTCCTTGAGGCTTTCAATAGTCACGTATGGCATCTTGTTACTGAACACTTAATTTCAGTCTACTCAGTACACATTTTGAAAAGGTGGGAAATGTCTACTGTTCCTAGAGTCTGGATTAGTTGACAGTTTAAAGAGAGGGAGAAAAAAAAAGGAAGGTGATGACAGTATATAGTAATGGATCAAATTCAGCTATGACAGTTTAACTAAGTATTTTTAAAACAAAAACTTCACACAATTGGAACCAGGAAGTTTTAACATTTCCTAAAGCATTTACAGTTACCTCTTTAGTACTGATCTATGGTACTACTCTTCTGTAGTAATTAGCATATTATGTTCTAGAGAAGCAACTGCATCCAGCGATTCATGAACGCATAGTTCAATGTACGGTGCTTTTAATGAAGTAGATTTGCAGGCTGAAGTCTGCAACGTGAGCATGACTGAGTAGTTCTTAAAAGTCTGCTTAAGATTAGGCCCTGGTGAGAGCAAAGTGCATCATAATAATAATAATTACAGAAATCTTGTGATTCGTGTATCCCAGATTACGTGACTGTAGTCTCCATTTGTTGTGGCAAGTACAGCAGCTTGTGCTGACCTAAATCAGTTTTGATTTCTCATTCAGTTCCCTAGTAAGGCATTTTATATGGTACGCCAAGTTCTGATCTAAGTAGGTCCCAAGTATTCCCACTTCATAAAACCTAAGGCAGGCCTAACAACAAAGGTTTAGTGTGCAGTGCTGCCACATGCCATTTGCTGTTTTTTCTAAGAGCTTCCATTCTAGCTTAGAAAAAGATGCCAACAGAATTATAACATCTACTGAGAAGCTTTGAATTCTTAGCATAGGACAAAGTTTCTCTTCAAGGTGCTCTTGAAATCTCTCAAACATACTTTCACCATTCCCCTGATGAATCAAATCAGGAGCACTTAGCAAACAGATCAACTTATTTGAGGTTTATTGCTGTAGATAGGAAGCCAGCTCTGAGTTCTGCACTAGGCACATCCTTGTTTTCAATGTCCTCTGGTCTCAGAAGACAGCACACCGTGGACCTCCTGTCTGGCACGTTTCCTAGGCACAGTTTTAACATCCTGTCACTGAAACAGAAACTTCATCCTGCTGACATCCTTAAGGTTTTCTAGTTATTGGTGATCTCAGCAGCAGATTTTGTAGACATGTATTTGTGTGTTTATGTACATGAATGCTTACGTGCACTGCAATGGAGTTTTAGAACAGTGTCATTTAAAACAGAAGCCATAGCGATTGCTCATTTTCAAGACAATATGGACAAAAAGAGGATGCTTAGTTGTTATACCTCAGAAGACAGCAAGAAAGCCCACTGCTTTGTAAAAGATGCAAGTTTCTCCCTGTTTTGCACTCAACCTGTGTTAACACATACCCAGTTTTGCTAGCTTGGGAAAATCCTCACCGAAAGCAACTGCACAAATGCATGAAGGCATAAGAACGCCAACATGCTTCTTGTGTCAATTAAAAAAAAAAAACCAAACTTGTTTTATGACACTACAACATACTGTAGAATCTCGCCCTGTGTTGTAACTTTTTTTTTCATTACCTCCTTTAGACGTTACCTCTGCTGCCTGTGCTGCCACTGCATGTCTCTGTGGAGACAGAACCTCCAAGGACAATTCCGGGGGGGATGGAATCCAGTGTCCCCCACTCCCTCTGTTCCCTCAGACAGTGCTCCATCATGTACCAGGGATCACCATACCCTGTAGCAGCAGCTCTCCTTCTATCCAAATATTCCTGGCCTGCTTGGTAGATCTTCCCCAACGCGTAATGCTGCAGTCCCCAGATGAAGGATTTTTTGCTGTTCCCCATCATCTCCCTGCAAAGTTAAGTGAATTTTGTAGTATCTCTTAATATACCATTTCTTGGAGTTGCCAGAGTATGTTTATTAATATAAACTTTTTGGTCTGGGAAATTCATGACAATTTTCACATAAAGAGGTAATCTGTAACAGAGCAATCCCACAATAACAAAACCAGAATGTTAGATGAATATAAATTTCTTAAAATAGCACATGTACAAACACTGTTAAAGAGCAGTACATTAAAAAGCTAAAGCTTCAAGAACAATTGTGTAATAGGCAACCAAAATTCAACAGACAGGCACGTTATTTCACACGTTTCCTAAAGGTAGCTTCATAGACGTTTTCCCAGGAAGGGGTTGATCTATTGTTAAGCACAGTAAATCCTGAATAATCTCTTGGGACTGCCTTATACATGAACCCGCAATGGTTTCCTCAAATGAGTTAAAACAGCGACTAAGGCCATGATTAAGACCATTTGTGAGGATATGTATCTGGAAATTCATCAGAAGTGTTAACGGTACAAGTGTGCAACTACAGATCTGAGAAATGAGGTTTACTGGAAGTAATGTAGTAATTCAGACAGTTCAATCAGACAGAGCAAAAAAGGTTAGAGCTCTTGGTCACAAAATCATTCACATCTGGCACAGAGGCAGGCAGGCATCATGTGATGAAGAGCTCATGTGCCCTTTTTTTTCATGTTTTCCATTCTGTTTGTCTAATGAAAAATGTAACTTGAAGATTGACCGTCTTGACTTCATCTTAATCCTAAACCAAAGTGTAACATTTGCAAGAGTAGTAGGAAATAACATTCCCCTTTTGAGTTGAACACCTTGGATCCACTGGAAGAGCTGTCAAATACTTCCTTTTTCGTAGTCAACACAGTTACTATGCTACAGCTATTTCATAAAACATGACTTTACATTTGTACAGTTTAGAATAGAGTATTTCAGTTGTAAGGGACCTATAATGATCACCTAGTCAACTGCTTGACCACCTCTTGGCTTACCAAAATTTAAAGCAAATTATTACAGGCATTGTCCAAATGCCTCTTGAACACCGCCAGGCTTGGGGCATCGACCACCTCTTCCAGTTTCTCAAAATTTAAAGCAAATTATTACGGGCATTGTCCAAATGCCTCTTGAACACCGACAGGCTTGGGGCATCGACCACCTCTTCCAGTTTCTGCAGCTCAATCTGTTCTCTGCACCTAAATTTCTCTCAAGCTTTCCAAGGTGACTTTTTTTTTTTTAATCATCTAATATTTTGCAACATACGTAAGACACTTGCTATCAACTGGTGCAGTATTCCTGCCATTAAAAGTTAAAACCCGTGTATAAGGTTTTGTGGAAGTTCAAGCCATTTTAGCAGCTACAAGATACTCACTTACCAGTGACGCATGACATCTATATGGCAGCTAAAGATTCTACCCCTCAAAATGTCACCTAGTTCTAGGTTAAAAACAGCAAGAGCCATAAAACAGGTAGGCTTCAAAATGGAAGCTGATGGAAAATCAGGTAGATGCCATTTCCTTGCCAGTGTATTTGATCAGGGTTACTATTAAACAATATTAACTAATAAGTTTGTGAAAAGCACCATTGAACTGTTCGTAACAGTTCTCAGGGCCCCTTCTCTGCTGACAAAAAGCATTGTCAAGAGAGACTCATTGCGCTGAAACAGAAATGTGGCTGAGGTGGGTGTTGGGAGTTGAGTCACTGAATCACAGCCATTTCCTACATTTCCATCTAGGTGACCTTTAAGTACTGAGATGGTTTGACCTCTTGGTGATCTATTTTGATCTGAGCTACATCAGAAGGACTTCCTGCAATGATCCTGCGCACTACAGACTTCAGAAAAGCAGTCAAATGACAAACAGTGTAAAAAGTTTTATTTGCTCTGTATCTTGCAACAAATCAAGTTTAATTCATCCACAGTATTTTCTCAATTACAGTCTGTCACAAAATATGAACAAAAGCATCATTTTTCTTCTGCATACACCGTATCTCCCAAGCGCTAAGAGAAACAATTATAGCAGATTAAGGACAAACCTACAGCATTCCTTTACCTTAGCTGGTTCTGATACAGAGGCATACTTTTTTATTTGAGAGTCAACTCCAAGAGACTTAGCTAATTGCACAGCATTTGTATCATCACTGATTAGCGTCCCAAGAGCCACAAGCAGTCTAAAAATGGCTTCAAGATCTTGAACAACTTCCATAACTGTGCTGATTACTGATAAACACTGAGCTTTGCCCTCAATGTTGTTGACTTTATGTAAACATGCAGCATAGTTTAACGTCAGTGTGGCAAGCGCAATGTGGATGTTCTTATTATTGCTCGATTTCATTTCTGTTGCTTGTGCCATTATTTCATCTCTCTGTTCCATCATGAGCTTCTGGCCTGCCTGGCTGACAAAACAATTGCAAAGAGCTCTAAGTGCCAACAGCTGGTTTGCTTGCTTTCCTTCAGGGTTCAGAAATTTAAGGAGAAGGATGATAAATTGTACGTGATCCTTTTCACTGCAGAAGTTCTCAGTCACAGTGGGATGCCTGACAGACAATCTAAGAATGTCTAGGGCTGGAAAGACAATATCTAAGAAACAAAACAAAAAATTATTTTAGTGTTAATTTTGCATTATATGCAAATGTGCTGATGAGTTTCTTTCAGACACAGACTTTCTTAAACCCCTAGATTTGGGAAAAGACGGTAATAGTTTAATGAAGGAAGAGACTCAGGTAAAGCACAAGCTGTCTGAAATTCATGAAGACAAGTATTGACAAAGACATTCTAGTAACCAGTGCTGACTGATAAATTATCAAATGAAATTTTATCACCTCCACTTGTATTAATTCAGAATGTCATTTCACTAATGCAGTTCTGACCACATAACCGAGCTTCAGTAACTTCTTCTATTCTACCATATTAAACAGGAGCTACTTTTGAGATTTTCTTAATCATTTATCTCCATAATTTCATCTCTCATTTGATAACAACTTAGGACTCCAAACTCAAACTTCTTTCTTCTCTTTCCAAACAAGCTTCATGCCTCTTTCTTGAGGATGCTCCTGCTAATGAAATAACCATGACTGATGTTTATGTCAAGTTTCTCCTCTATGTTTACTGTGTGACAACAATAAAACCTGACAACCAATTCCCAATTTTGCGATTCATACCACTGATCAGTACTGTTAGCATCTGTTTTATCATCTTCTAGCTTCTACTTGGGTTGTAAACTCTTTGGGGCAAACTCTGTCATAACAAGCCAGTATAACAAGACTTTTAGTTCATAGTGAAGTTTTGATGAGATGACAGCACAGAAAATAATTGCAAGTGTCTACCTTCTGGCCAGTTAATTGCTTTCCATAAAGTCTGAAGTTGCTGTGCTGTGGGTGTTTCTGCAGAAGTGTTGCACGTTGCAGACAATATCTTTTCTAGGATTATCAAGTCATCTTCTGTAAGCTTGTGTTCTTCAGTTGCACTGCCATTAAGTTCCTTTAATTTGCCTGTAAGACCAATAGAAGAGGCATGGCTTTCTGACATGAGAACTTCACAAAACCACATCTCAAAGGAATACTACAGTACTTTCAGTACTTAAAGGGGACTTATAAAATGTCCCTGCCCATGGCAGGGCCGTTGGACGAGATGATCTTTAACATCCATTCCAACCCAAATCATTCTATGATTCCATGACAGTAAGCTTGCCCTCTTCAAGAAATTGGATAAAGGTGAAGATATGCTTTTTCTAGAAAGCGTAATCTCTTGTTTTACGTTTCCTCATCAGACTATCTAGACATTTTCTACAATGTTTTAAACTCTGTACATAAAGGGGAAGGGCGGAAGTAAGAGAATTTAATTTGGAGTTCTTCAAGGCAGGTACATTGTGAATACAAACTAGTTTTATAAAACCCATAAATGTACTATGGCACTCTACACAAACATACTGAAATAAACTGGTGATAAATAGGGTAGAGATTCTGTGGAACATTTACAGAAAATACAGAAGACATAGTATAATAGGAATGAAACATGGGAAAAGGTAAAAACAAGCCAATAATAACATTTACCAAAAAGGTGTATTAAATATCGTACACTATTTTCTCTTTCTGTTATACAGTGTTCTGCTTAAATATAGAAGCAACTATTACAACCTCTGAAACTGCAGAATGCCTCGCTTCAAAACTTCGTAGATTACACTGTATGGCTACCTGGTGAACTAAAACTTTCATGAGAAAAATCAGAAGGGAATGCACATGACCTGCATACCCAGCAGCTAGGGGAAAAACGTACAGTATTCAAATGTACCAGCTTGATAAAAAAAGATGCTGAACAACAGCAGACATAAGCTGAGGGGAAAAGAACTGGATATCCTGTATTAGAGTTCTTGTGAAATGTACTCATATTCCTAGACCTTCAAATACATGCACCGTTAAAGTGATGAATGCAACTTTTAAATGTCAAAACCAAGAAACAGTAGGAAAACTATGGGAAATCACTTAGCTTCCCGAAATGATCAAAAGTGAAGTTATGTCAGCCAGATGAAGAACAAAACCACCCCTGAAATTAAAACACTGACCCAGTATCTGCGTAGGATTGGCCTGGTCAAAGGTGACAGCATCCTGCTTCGGAAAATAAATATTTTCAACATTTGCTGCAGCTGAGCGGTAGGCGCCCGTTCCTACATAAAGGAAATACGAAAAGTTCAACAGTGTACCAAAGTGTCTGAGATAGAACGATATCCTACCAGTAAGTCCGTCCTGCTAGACATTACCAGAAAAATATCTTTTAAAAGATGAATGCTTATGCAAATAGGTGTCATTCCTTATGTTAATTTTACATTCAAGGGTTAAAGCTTAAAGCAATACCTTCACGAACTGTTCTCCTTCCATGTAGAAATTTACTCTACAAATGTAAATTGTTAACAGTGATTTCTGAATTACATTAATAAATACACAGTCATTTGTAGGAATGGGTATTGCAGTTAAGACATGAAAACA